AACACGAAGTGCCTATTTGTGGTACATTCATCCAGCTTCTTCAAATAATTCACGCGATATCGCCTACTTTTCTCCCATTCATGTTTGTTATCACAAGACATGCACAGCTAAATACTGGTTCTGACTGCAATATAATTCAATCACCAATTATCGGTCTTGTACGAAGTTTGATGGTTGAGTATGAACAACACCGATTGAAGCTCATTGATTTACAAACACCACAAACAATGATCGATGAATCGGCACTTGTTCATATTTTGGTACAATATATGGTAACTTCTCGATATTCAAACAATACTGATGAGATTGTTCTTCATCTTGACACAAATGAAAAGAAAGTCAAACATATCACATGGCATTATGAAATGTTGCAAACACATGACAAAAAAGAAGATCAATCAAAACTAAAACAAATTTGTATTATTCCTCAACAAGATGCTAATCAACAACCATTCTGTCTTTGTGTGCCACCATCTCGTTTCCTCACTGAATTAACATGGATTCCCGACAATAGAGCAAAAGAATTACTACCGGGCATGGTAGAAGTTCAAATTCACTGTGTAGGTATTAACTTTCGTGACGTATTGAAAGCACGAGGTCTGTATCCACATACTCGTAAGTTTGCACAACTGGATGAACATCAACCACATATGAATCGAGATACCGAGCCAGGTTCAGATTTTGTTGGCACTATCATACGTGCATGTCCTAGTGTCAATTTCCAGCCAGGTAATCGTGTCGTAGGCATCTCTTCACGTGGTGGATTCCATTCACATATCACTGTCGACTCAACACAAGTAGTGTGTATTCCATCCGACTGTCCTCTTACCGATGAACAATTATCAGTTATGCCAGTCATCTGTCTGACCGTCATCTATTCGCTCAAATATCGCGTTCATTTGCGACGGGGTCAAACTGTTCTTATTCATGCTGCAACAGGTGGTGCGGGTCAAATTTGTATACAGTATTGTCAATGGGTTGGTGCTCGTGTTTTGGCTACAGCTGGAACTGAAGAAAAGCGACGATTTTTACGTGAACATTATGGTATCGAACATGTATTTAATAGTCGAGATACTTCTTTTGTTAATGGTGTGAGAAGTATTCTACCTCATGGTGTTGATGTTGTCATTAATTCTTTATCAGGTATTCTTCTACAAGAATCCATTAAACTACTTGCTGATCACGGTCATTTTGTTGAATGGGGAAAACGAGATGTTTTTGACAAGACTCAATTGTCTATGTTTGATTTTCGATCAGATTGTACTTTTTATGTAATCGATTTGATTTCACTTCCCGATCAACAACTACCTATGTGCACGGTGATGCTTCAAGAAATGATTGATTTACTTATTCAAGGCAAATTAAAAGCAATTGAGCCCACAGTTATGTATGAACCATCTCAAGTGATTGATGCATTTATGAGATGTAATAGTGGTCAAGCCATGGGCAAAGCTGTTGTTCGCTTAACCAATTCTAATGAATCACTCTATTTGAACAACGTACATCATAATAATTTACTCGAAGGTAACTTTTACTAATCTTTCATTATGATTCTAATGATCATAAATTTAGATAATGATATTATGTTTCCTCCGATCGTTTGCCAACAAGGAACAGTTCTGATTTCTGGTGGATTTGGTGGTCTTGGATTGACAATGTCTCGGTGGATGATTGAGAAACGAGGTGTAAAACGTATTATTCTTATGAGTCGTCGGACATTAGCTAAACTTGAACAACCTTCAAATCCACAATATGACGATTGGTTACGCTTGAAACAAACAATAAATGAATATCAAGCTCATGTTGATGTTGTTCAAGCAGATGTGACAAATTTTGATCAAGTGTATGATCTGATCGAAAAACTAAGTCAAACCTCTTATCCTGTTCGAGGAGTTATTCACAGTGCTGTTGTTACAGAAGATCGAACTTTACCTAAAATAACACAAGAATATTTGACACATGTTTCAACAGCAAAAGTTCATGGTGCTTGGATTCTTCATCAAGTAACACAGCTCACTCATGCTCCTCTTCACTTTTTCCTCATGTTCTCATCAATTCGAAATCATCTACTTGAAGTGGCATCATCCGGTTACAATGCTGGCAATCAATTTCTCGATGCTCTTGCTCACTATCGTATGACTCAACAAAATTTACCTGCTCTCTCCGTTAGCTTGCCTGCTGTAAGTGGTGCAGGTATGTTTCATCGACAACGAGATATGCTCAGCACTTTACAAAGTACACATGGTTTTGAAGTGTTGCCGCCAATAGCTGTATTTGAGTTGATCGAACGCTTTCATACAAATCAGAAGACTTGTCCATGCCCTGTTATTTTTGCTGTTAATTGGCAAACATTATATGAAAGACGTCACAAACTACCGATATTTCAATTGAATAAGATAGTAAAAGAACGCTACACTGTTATAAAACTCGCAAATATATCAACAACATCAGCAGAACTCAACTGTACAACTACTTCGAACTGGAATCGAAAAGAGTCTATTATTGAACGAATTCAGATGACTGTAGCACGGATTCTAGGTGCAGCCGATATTGATCGTATCCTAGTTAATCGTTCATTGGTTAGCCAAGGTATGGACTCATTAGCAGCTCTCTCACTATATAATTGGTTAGGACAAGAGACCAGTGTTTATGTACCATTAGTTGATCTACTTCAAGGATATTCTATTGAAACTATTGCAACAGTAATTCATAATAAACTCAACGAACGACATCAAGTTGCATCATCATCAACTACTAAAGAAGAACACATGGATATTGATCTAATCGAAGAAAGTGAAATAAAACTATCTCATAACTCTAATTATACTGGTATAGAAAATATCATCTGTCTTCAACATCCACAGCAGTGCAATAGTCATGTTTTCTTCTGTATTACGGAGCAGTCACTAACCAATACTGATAACCTGAATAAATTATTCATTGACAGAATATATGAGCAGCAGAATCAAACAAGACCAGTTCTCGTTTATGCTATAAAAATACCATTAGTGACATCAACAGCATCGACATCTACTTATGCTAGTGATATGATTTTGCAAATGCGTCGTATTCAACCGCGTGGACCTTATCAATTAGTGGCTGTCCGAAACAAACAGGAAGAAATCATTGCACATGAAATGATGCGACAACTCAAAGATCATCTAATGATTATCGAAGTTCGATTACTTCTTCTGAACGATTAGAATCAAGAAGAATAATAACATTAACACTCTCCAAACATTGATGGTCGAGTTAGTTTGAACTTCTTTCTTTATGCACTAATTCTAACATTTATCAGATATCACGCTATAGAAATACATGTAGAATTCTTAATCGTCAAAATAAGGAAATTTAGAAGTAAAAACTCTACATCTTCAGCATTAGTATCTATTGCAGCAAGAGATATAATTTTACATAAGCTTTTTACTTTACAATTCGCTACTGTTTTCTTAATGAAAGAATTTATCTATTTTATAGTCAATTAAAAAAGAAAATTATCCATCTTCAAGAAACTTTACATAAAACAACTAAAACAGATCAACCATTATACTGCCAGCAGGGATCATTTTT